TTCACAGGATCCTTTCTTGCGTTTCTTATCCATCGTTCGGGATATCGAGAATCGTTTTTGCATGTGCCGTAAGCACATCTTTTAGTAGTCACCATTGCGTGTTCGTACAAATGACTGTACCGCGACCTTACAAGAATGTCCGAACTTTCACGCGATGTTTACATTCCAGATCACGTGACATGACACGTGAACGTTAGAGCCGAAACGGTGAATTGAGATCACTGTTTGAATATTTGCTGGTGTTGGCCATCGCGCCATCAGATTAAAGTCTCAGAAGGGCTAATAACTCAACTATTACATATGTTAAGTAAAAGCCATACGGGCATTTTTGTTGCGGAGCGAGCGAGTTAAAAAAAAGACAAATTTCGCCGTTGGGAGTAACCTTAATCTGCCCCTACTATATTTGGCGCGAATGTGTCCGMAAGTGCCCGGAGCGGAGGGTTATTGTAGTGCCCGCCGATTAAGAAAATTTTGTTCTTGAAAAAATAAAAACATAGTGCATTAGCATTTTGCTGTGATAGTTGACCTTGGAAACTAGATGTTTCATTGACTATTTTCTTGTTTTTGTTTTTTTTCTTTCAGCAAAAGAGGTCTACGATTCATTCACTGAAAAAGACTTTTGTGACGAATTAACAAGAGCTTCTTTACGAAAGSAACAGATTGACGAATTGAAACGTTTCATTGCTAATAACGATGGTGGYTAGCACATAACTAAATATATGATATTATTATCAATCATTATTACTTATTGGTGAATAATCTTTGTTTTTAGTTGCATTCCTCCTTTTTTGTTGTTTTGTACCATCGTGATCATCATCATCAACAGGCGGTTATTTAACAAATAAACTAGACGATCGAATCGATCGTGACGTCGGGCTACGATCATGTTTAACACTTATGTAGGCCCTAATAAGTGATACATGTATACTCACAGCAAGCCGTTACCTTTTTCGTATTCAAAATATTTGTTGATGTTATATACCATACATCAATTACATATCCYATCGMAAGTTAATATAAGTTATTTATTASATCATAATTTTTTACAGAACTGAACTCTAAGTAAATTCTTTAGATATCATGTCTTTCTCAGTTTTCCAAAATAACTAGCTCGAAAATACGCTCTAAGAGCGACTATAATATTCAATGCAAGATATCTGAAAGGTCATATAAACCATAGAAACGGTACAGTCTTTGCAGTTTTGTCAGTATCGTATAACTTTGAAAATTATTTTGATCGTTTGAATCATGTAAGATCTTGTGTTTCTGTTCTTTTTATTTGGTGTTTTCTTGTATTTGTAATTTATAATTTTACATCTTCTGTTCTGTGCCATCATCAAACAGGTGTACCTGACAGTTTATATTTTTGGATATTTGTCTAAGTTTTTCAAGTTAAAACAATCAGCAAAACAAATTTTAATAAAGAATTAAAATGCTTCATACACAATATAGATTTTGTACAGAGTTCAGTAAGCACGTACACGTGCAGTTTTCAAGTTCAAACACATCGTCAGCTTAGAAAATGGCATCAATATTTTTCAGATGAGGTTTGATATGTTTTAGTCCATCGAATAATTATTCTTCTGTCAAAGTATCAACCTTAAATATCCATGTGATTTCTTATTTTTTGAAGATTTTGTGATTGACATCGAGCACTTGTTGTGGCGACGTAGTGTTCTTCGTGTCGGCGGTAGAAAATGCCCAGTCATTTCTGCACGAATCAT